ATGTTACATAAATTATCAGCAAGATAACTGGGCAGATTTACTGCCGTTTGCAGAGGTGGCCTATAATAACTCCATACATAGCAGCACAGGGTTTACCCTTTTCAAGGTGGCTTCTGGCCAAGATTTTGTGCCCATTCCAGAGTTGCCTCAGGAAAATCCACAAAACCCCTCCTTGGTTGATTGAATTGAACAGTTATGTGCCACTTGGTCAGTAACTCGCAAGGCACTTGATGAAGCACATCGGGCTCATAAAGTCCAAGCCGATAAGAAGAGGGTTCAAGCAAGGACTTATAAAGTTGGTGATATGGTTTACCTCTCCACCAAATACTTGCAAACTACCCAAAAGTCTAAAAAGCTTGGGCCCAAGTATGTGGGTCCTTTTCTGGTAGTTTGAATCATTAACCTAGTCACAGTACAATTGGAGTTACCAAAAAGTTTGAGATGAATTCATCTGGTGTAAGTTGTTAAAACCGGAGCATTCGTCCCCTTTGCATCCAGACCACGAACCTCCTCCTGTCCCCATACTGATTGAAGGGGAACAGCATTTTGAGGTCAAAGAGATCTTAGACTCTAGAAAGCATCGGGGTAAGGTGCAGTATTTGGTGGCCTGGAAACATTTCCCATTATCTAAGGCAGAATGGGTAAATAAACGAGATGTTCGAGCTCCTAAGAAAGTACAGTAGTTTCACTCCAACTATCCTGATAAACCCGTAATCTGTTTTTTATGTTATGCCCTATTTCTGTGATCATCTGTTTTATGTCGTTTTGGTTTCTTGTAGGAATAACGTCTCTTCTGCAGGAGGGCCAAATGTCAGCCTCTGCTGTTTCATTGCTTGTTTGCTTGACTGCCATGAAATGGGGGGAGGGGGGAGCTCTTGGGCTTCTTGAGGGGGGGAAGTGAGCTGGAGGAAAACGAAAGTAATTCTTTGCTGCAACATTTTCTTTGAAGCTGATAACGTCTCAAGGTCAACGGTCGTGGCATAGCAAGAGGATGACACTGCCAGATGTTTGCTCCCACATGACCCCTGGAGAACCTGTGGATTGGATGATTTACCCTGGACAGTTGGGGGGGATGCTTTCTATATGTGATTTTCGCGCCTTTGCTCCAGACCTTGCTTTTCTTTGACTGCATTCAGTTCTTATCCAGTAAAAGTTACCTTTCTCTATGAAAATGGAATCAGGGTTTTTTTTTTTCTTAGATAATGAAAGGAGACCGCCCTGACACATTAGCTCTGTATTTCATAGCACCTGAAGGTTTCGGCATCTACATTATACCCTGTGCATTGGGAACAAAGATTCTGCCAAAGTCTTCACTGGGGTCACATTTTAAAGATACCGTCCAGAGCTTTTTTTTTAATAGTGTGTGATACTGAATGGCAGGAATAAATAAATAGACCATAAGAGCTTATTTTATGGTCTTTGTTATCTGAAGGGGGTACAACCATGCAGGGAACCAATGCTACTTAGGGATGCTCTGATGGGATTTCACCTTGGTACCCCCACAAGCAACAGAATGGATTCTTTTCTATTTCACATTAGTGAAACCTCACCTCAACTTTAGAGAAAGACTATGATCAGTGGCTAGAATGCAATATTGCAGGTTAATTCTGCTGACTGTCAGCAGTTTGATCCTGACCAGTTCAAGGTTGATTCAGCCTTCCATCTTTCTGAGGTCAGTAAAATGAGGACCCAAATTGTTGGGGGCAATATGCTGACTCTGTAAACTGCTTAGATAGGGCTGTGAAGCACTCTGAATTAGTATATAATTCTAAGAGCTATTGCTATGGTGATTTTAGGGCTTCAAAGAATGCTTCAAAGTTCATTCATGAAGCATTGAATGCAGTTGAGCAATGCAACCTCCTTTACAAGAAATCTTTTTGTCTTCCTTACACCATGCAACTTACTGAGGCAAACTGTAGCTACTTTTCAAGGCCTACTTCTTCATTGTTTCTGTGTTGTTTGTCCTTGTTATTAGTTATTTTTATTACCCTGGTTGTGTTCAATTGTTTCTGTTATTAGCTCCTTGAACATTTAGCTAGAAAGATAGAATTCCAATTGCATAAACCAATAGTTAATATGAAAGACCACAAGCATGCTTTTGTAATAAGTATGATAGCCTCTTTTGAACCCTTGAACCATTGAACTATGCTCCTTGTGTAGTTCTTAAATATACCCAGCTCAATCAGTTCTTTCCTTGTTATTCTGCTCTCTCTGAACCATGTAATCTGAAATCAACCCAACCTTATGCGTCTCATTCATCTAGAACAGTGGTTCTCAACCTTCCTAATGCCGCGACCCTTTAATACAGTTCCTCATGTTGTGGTGACCCACAACTAGGGGTGGGTTCTAAATTTTTTTACTACCGGTTCTGTGGGCATGGCTTATTTTGTGGGCGTGGCTTGGAGGTCATGTGACTGGGTGGCCGTGGCTAGCTGGTCATGTGACCGGATGGCCATGGCTATGTGTATAGGGACTACTCAGAGGGCTGAAAAAAGTCATTTCTGACAGGTCCTCGCACTTTTGACTGGTCCTCACACTTATGACCATCCTCACATTTATGCCCGTGCAGCATTCTTAACAACTGTGTCACTCATTTCACAACTGCTTCTCTTCACCATGGTGACAAGATAGGGCAAAAACGTAAAATGTGAGGACAGTCGTAAGTTCGAGGACTGGTCAAAAGTGCGAGGACCAGTCAAAAATAACTTTTTCAGCCCTCTGAGTAGTCCATATGCACAAAAGGACTACCCAGAGGGCTGAAAAAAGTGATTTCTGACTGGTCCTCGCACTTTTGACCGGTCTTCACACTTATGACTGGTCATCATTTATGCCCATTGTAGCATTCTTAACAACCATGTCACTCATTTCACAACTGCTTCTCTTCACCATGGTGACAAGATAGGGCAAAAAAGGTAAAATGTGAGGACAGTCGTAAGTTCGAGGACTGGTCAAAAGTGCGAGGACCAGTCAGAAATAACTTTTTCAGCCCTCTGAGTAGTCCATATGCATAAAAGGATACAGCAATAGAGAGGGATGAAGGAAGGGAAGGGAAATTAGAGTAGGAGGGAGGGTAAGAGAGGGAGGAAGAGAGGAGGAGAAGAAGAAAGGAAGAGGAAGTAGGGAGGAGAAGAAGAGGGGGAGGAAGAGAAAGTAAGAAGGAAAGAAAAGAGAGAGGTGGTAGGTTTGAGGAGAAAGATTGCTATACAATAAAAAAGATGAAAGGGAAGAAAGCCAACCCCAAACAAATATAAAGATATTAAGATAAAGAATGAATTGTTAAACTTTAAAGAATAAAAGAGAACAAATATGAATAAATAACAATAATTAGAAACACACATACAAACATACAATGTATTTTCTTTGAACAGAGTATTTGGCCGGTTCACAAATTTAAACAGTGTTTAGTCATTTCAATTAAATTTACAATTTCTATATTTCCTTTTTGCCATATTTATTCCTCATCTATTTTTGTAAAAAACCAATATTACCCTTCATCCTCATCTCTAATCTTAATCAAATTCAATTTTTCCCTTCTATTCTATATTATACCCCTTCCCATTGTCATATAATTTTATATCCATCCTCACATTGGTTAATTATGTAATATTAGTTGTTTAATATAAATTCAACATTTTAATATAAATCAATTAGTTATATAACTACCTTTTTTGTATATTAATCAATATGAACATGAATATTCCAATTATTTCCATGCAATCCAATTTCTTACAAATCAATTAATTATATTTACCAATAATAATAAACTAAATAATTTCCCCCATATATTCCTCCAAACCACAACTTAACCATTTCTGCTTTCAGAAATATACAATTAATAGTATCTCAATTATTACAATTCCCTAGTTAAATAGAGCTTTTTTTCTTTTGTGTTTTAAAATCTTGAACTCTCCTCTTTTTCCCTAAGTTTCCCATTGTTTGCACCTACCCTTTTTGGTGAGGAAAAAGAAAAGAAATCTGCCTGCCTAATTTTCAAACGTTGCAGCAATAGCAAAGCAGTTTCAGTTTCGTTTTTCAGCATAGCTAGGGGGAAAAAATCTGCTCCAGGACTCTTTGCAAGGAAGCAGCAGAGCCCTGAGCAAAACAGCTGAGACAAATCAGCTAAGAGTCGGGAGCCGATCTAATCAAGGGCTAATTAGCCTATGCTGAAGCTCCATGGGCCAATAAAATTACAAAAAAACACCGAACCATTTGTTAAATTGCTGGCTCGCCCGCCCCTCACCCACCACTATTTATTGGCAATAAATAGTGGTGCGGAGGGGCGGGGCAAGCCAGCAATTTAACAAACAGTTCGGCTCCTAGAACCGGCAGAATCCCACTACTGGCTATAGGGCGGCCCTTTGAAGCCCCGCGGCAAGAATTTAAAGAGTTTTTTTTCCTCTAGCCATCAGCTGGGACTCCAGAGGCAGCAACAGATTGGGAGTGGGTGGGGCAAGCGAACGGCCAGCGATCCAACAGAGCAGAGAGTGAGGGTGAGTGAAGGCATGGGGGGGGTGAGAGAGGGCTTTGGCGACCCCTGTGAAATGGCCGTTCGACCCCCAAAGGGGTTGCGACCCCCAGGTTGAGAACTGCTGATCTAGAAGCAAATCCTGATGATTTCAGTGAAGAAATATGCTTTGAATTACAGTTGCACTTCATTAGATGACTAGGTATTATATGATGTTTTGCAATCTATTTTTTTAAGCTAAACAAAGTGTTGTTTTTGTAGAATGGGAAATGCCAGCAAAAGATTTTAAAAGCAGATACTGCATGGTTCTGAAGTCCTTTTTTGACAGGTGCATATTTTCAGCTCCGGTATCCTGACCTACTTGGTGGTGAGGATTTAATTAAGAGCCATATATTATTGTCAAAGCCATTAAAGCTTTGCCTTGATTAAAAATGGAATTGTTTAATTAAAAAGAAAGGGGTTTGGCTAACCTTAGCATTATGTTTGAATAAGACATTTTATATCAGCTAATTTTTTTTCTATCTTTCGCATTCAGGCTTGATGATTCGGGAAGCATACATCAATGTGACAAGGCAGCAAGTGGAGGATTTTCATGGACCAGAAGACTACTGGTGCCAGTGTGTGGCCTGGAGCCTCCTAGGAACTTCCAAGAGCCGGAAGGCTTCGGTCCGCATTGCCTGTAAGTGGTTTTTGCTCTCCAGAAATGGATGGGCATTGTTCTTAATCTATGCATCTCATAACAGCTCAGTGTGAATATAGGTACATGTGTAGCATTCCTGTATGTAGAAAAAAATTGTGTCTGTATCCCTGTGTAGATGAATATTTGGATTTCTGGTAAAGTTTGCATCATACTGGTGAACCACTGTTGTGTGTTGGATTTCATAGGAGTCCCAAAGGTACTTTTCTTTTTTTTCATAAAGCAACTGGACTTTCTGGGGTTTTTTTCTTTGAAAATGTTTCCCTTCTCATCTAAGAAGCTTCTTCAGTTCTAATTCAATTCTTCAATTAGAACAGTATATCTACAATGGATATAACAGGTTTATACTTTTTAGAGCATTTCCAGGCAAAAATATCTTGTAAGAATGTAAGAACGGCCTTGATGGACCAAGCCAACATCTATCTTAGTTTAGCATTTGGTTTCTCAAGTGGTCAACCGGGTACTCATAAACAGGAGCCCATGCAATCTAACCTCTTTGAAACCTATCCAAGATGGGTAACGACAAATGACTTTGTCTTGTTCAATGAATTCCAAAGATTTGTTGTGTGATAAAGACTTTTATCTTTCCTGAATCTTTTTCCTGTCAGATTCAAATGATGATCCTTGCTCCTATTGTTCTGAGAAAAAAAAAAACCAAAACTTCCTGTTTGTTTTCTCTGTGCATGCCTGCATGATTTTATACACCTTTGTGTCTATTACCATATGTGAAATACTCTGTAAAGAGAAGTTGGAATGTTTCCAAAGTAGACAGAGGAAAATCTACTCTTTTAGCTTATGCCTAAAGAATCCCCTCCTTCCTCCTCCTCCTCCATCATGCTTTATTACTGTTCTATCAGCAATAATTAGACTCTTCCAGGCATTGCAGGATATTCATTCACCCTTTACTCAAAAGGCCATACAAACCACTTCTATACACATTTAGTATTTTTGAACAATGTCATTACTTATAATGAGCCAAATTTTATGAATAAATGTATAGAATATGCTTGGCATTGATACCCTATAAGAATTAATTGGAGTATACATTCTCCATATTTATCTTTTGATGTTAGCACCTAATCTATTGACATAAACTTTTCCATGTAATTATAATGTGGTGTAGTTATTTGTTTAATCTGATGATATTATTGTAGAGTTAGGATTACAGTTAGGATTAGGTTATTTTAAATTACATTAATTAAATACATTTTATACTGCTGTATAATTTTTAGGTTCATAAATTTATTGGTTATATAGATTTTAGTTTTATTGCTGTATATAATAGTAGTGCACAGATGTTTGATTCTTAGATTTGTTCACTTGTAGTTTTCAGTTTATAGATTGTAATCTCCTAAATACTTTGTGGTAAATATAGTTTACTTTATTGTCACTAACACTGTATGTATAGAATGAATTCTTTGATTGTTTTATTAGTGTTCAATTTACATTTTAGGCAGGTCAAAAACCAAAATAAATAAACTGAACTGCATTTATTAAAAGATGGAGCTCACATATCACTAGCTTTGATCATGGGATGTTGAATAAGATACTAAGCCATAACCCTTGTTTTCAAAATACAATACCATGGTTCATCCATTACCCAAAGTCAGAACCAGACAAATTTATGACCTTAGCCCAAAAGTTTTTCAACTCTTCATTCAGCAATCTCTATAACACAAAATGGCAAGACAGCCTCTCCACCCCACCCCACTTCACCCCATGCCCCCTAATCCTTCTATCCATTTGATTGCTGCCTCTTAAATTACTGAAATTAGGACTACAAGATCTGGACCAAAGATGGCAGCATAAAGTTGGATTTTTTTTCTGCCTCTTTGTTGCTACCTAGTGCTCATTTCTGCAATCCAGTTTAGTAGATTGCAGCTGCTGCCTTTTTAAAGAATCTTTATTTTAATCTTATTTTTAAAGCATGGGTAGTAGGAGAACTCTGTTAAATTAAATTTGGGCAACAAATTATTTCCATTAACATGAAGATGAGGAATTTTTTCCTTCACTCTCTATTTCTGATTTTTTCATTAATCTTTTAATTTTAAAATTTAAAATTTAATTTTAAAATTTAAAATCATTAAATAAAATTTAATTTGATCATTAATCTTTAAAAATCTTTTTTAAAAGATTCTGGAGAATACTGGATTTTTCTCTGCAACAACAATTTTAGGCAGTGTATTTTTAATAGCTGAAAAGATTTTCTGTATATGTGCATGGAATATACGGTACGTAAAGGATCAGAATCAGTAATGGGTTGCTACTGGTTCTCCCTGGTTCGGGAGAGCTGGTAGCGAAAATATTGATGTGAGAGTGAACCGGTTCGCTCCTACCGTCAGTTGGGCCCTCCCGCCCACCCCTGCAATATTCCTACCTTTATTCCTTCGTTTTTAGCCCAGCTTAAAGGCATGGCAGAATGGATTGCCCTGCCTCAACCATTTAGGTAAATCAATGTGCTTATGCGAAATGCAAGTTTGGAGAGTGTGCGAGCAAAGTGAGCACGTGCATGCCGATTGCATGCAAAGCGCGTGCGTGAAGCGAATCGGTGGCAACACTGGTTAGAACCCACCACTTATCAGAATGTGATTGAATCTGTAATAAGCTGCCCTTCACACATTCCCCTTTCTGTGTGTATATTTCCAAGGTTTTTTTTTTAAAGGATGCACTATCGTAAATTGAACACGTGGCTAAACTGATATGATGGGACACTGACTTCATGATTTTTGTTAATGGCTATGATTTTTCATTGGCTGATTTATTTGGCATGTATAAATTATTTTCATTGCATTGCATTAACTGCTGTTACATTGACAGAGATGATAATTCTTCAGTTTTGCAAGGCTGCAACACATATTATTTAGAACTGAATTTTTATTGACTCTTTTTTATGGACTATGAATTTTCTTGCTGAACATGGAAGCATGAAGAGAGCAAAAAATTTACTGAAGCAAGTGGATCGATTAAGCTGTCTTATACCATGAAGTTACTTTGGCATGACATTTGCTACTGGAATAGCTTCCTGTTCTTTTGCCTAACAAAGTTTCTGCTGCAGTAAATGTTATTATTTTAATAATAATACTAATAGACTGTTAAGGAGTATTTAGTTGGGTTTTGTAGAATAACAAAAGAAATAATTCAAGGTATTTCCATTTTTAATAAAATAGCAATTCTTTTTACATTCTCAAGGTTGCTTCAAGGTTATAGTGTCCTTTCTATTCATACAGACATCACTTTACATTAGATACTTCAATTTCTCTGTTTATCTACCTATCCTAAAAAAAATATGGTTTGCTTCACACAAGTCATGAACTTGAAAATATGTGAACTCAGTTACCATGCATGCTAAATAGCTTCATGAGAGTAGCAATTCATTCCTTGGTGTCTTGGAGATCAACATCCAGATGATTCCATCTGAGTCAAAGTCACTTTTAGTTCTAGAAAGTGTTAGCATTAGACTGAGCAGCCATTTGACATTGAAATCCCACACAAGAGTCTCAGAAATAGGGATCAAATTCTGTGTAGAACAACAAATGACCTTGAGTTGGATTCTTGATGTTAAATCTATAATTTCTCTAATTTTTTGAACTATCAATTTGCAGTATACTGTTGCATCCCTTTTCTAAACTCTTCTTGGATCTTATATTATTGGCATCATTTATATTCCTTGTTGAGTCCTTTACAGAGGTCATTAGATCTTGATCTTTTGTCCACATAGGAAACCCTTTAATCAATCCAAACAGATTTAGCAATGGACAAAAAGGACACTTGCAAATGAAAGCTGATTGCTTGTGGAGATGTTCTCAGTGTTGTGAGTAGGTGTCCATTAGTTGTTTGCTCGGTATGATTCAGTGTTGAAGGCCTCAATAAGATGATGGTGGTCAACATTATGACTTGAACTAACTTCCTGTTCTAATTAAAAATTTCTGCAAATGACCTTTAAAAAAATTTTTTGGATCCTATGTGATCTGTCCCCGTACCCACACACACACACACACACACACAGCCAGTCGAGGGTTAAGGAAACACTTTGGAACGCACCCAGGTCTTATCTTCCACTTGGCAGTGATAGACACACCGTCTGCCAAGTGACTTTATTTTCAAAGTAAAAACAGAAAGATAAATACTCAAGAGTCCAAATGTCTGACACTTTAAATCTTTCTCTCAGCAGTTCCGGACGAGGCTTTAGTGACTATCTAAGGTTTGCTTTGTTCGTCACAAGGATCCTTTGACCACTACCCTCTATTATATAGTCTCTGGGGTGTGGTCCAGTGACTCAGTTCTAATCCCTAGTACGCCTCCTAAGCTGCTGCAAACGTTTATCACGCCTTCGGAGGCGTGCGTCCAGGAATGATGTTTCTTCATCACTCTGATTCGAATCAGCTGTCTCTTCTCCCTCGGCCGGCACTTGAGACAATGCCAGAGGGGAGGGGCCTGGAGAGGGAGGCCTGGCTGACTCCTCTTCCTCATGCTTGGAGCTTTCTTCCTCCGATGGGACAGGCTCAGAGGGCGGGGCCACAACACTATGTCCTCAATTTTCATCCTGTTTTGGAAGGCTGATCTCTTTTTTTCAAATGCAGCAAAAAGAATACATGACTCATTCTTATTTGCAATCATCTTAGCCAAACTGTCTGGGAATTTGGGGAGCCATGGTCTCAAAACATCTGGAGGAAATGAGGGTAGAGAGGCATATATATGTACTGCCAATGCACATACTTTATTATTTATTTATTTGATGCTCCTGTAATTGAAATAAGTGATTAATTTTTGCTCAAAAATTATCTGCCAAACACAGCTCTGCTTTTCATTTAAAGAAAAAATCAGAGAGTGTGTAAGGCAAGCAGATGTGAGTGAGTGGGAGGATAAAGAAGGTAGCATCTCTTTGAAAAGCATCCAAATGCAGTAAGAACTTTTCTGATAGTTTCAGCCTTTCTGCACGGGGAGAAGGACTTAAATTAGTTTCCAGATTTGAAAGATATGCAGCCCAGTCCTAAATCTGATTATTCCTAATTAGCTTCCCTTTAGTCCATTAGGACTAACTTCTTGGTTGTTGAGCTTTTTGTTATATTCTTAGGGGTAAATAAATACCTGTTTCCTTGCTCAACCTCATTGACCATAGCAGATCTATGCTTATTGATTAATTCTGACATTCAAAGACTTCAATCAATGTCTTATTTGAGTCAGAGTCTTATTAGTTTTGAATCATTTAACCTTTTCATTATAATATAAGCAGTCTTCATTTAGTGATCACAATTGGGGCTGGCAACTTGGTTGTTAAGTGAAGTATTCATTGAGTGAAGCTGAGACTGGGCTTATGATCTGACTTCAGTTTTACTTTACTTTAAAAAATTGCATAGGTTGTAAATGCAAGGGATTGGTCATAAATGACTTTTTTATTACAATCATAACTGCAAACAGTTGATAAATGAAGTACACACTAAATAAATATACTGCATATTGGTCTGAATTTCTTATAAAAGAGGTGGGACCTTAAAATGTAAATATCATTCTCATATTTCTGTATGTACAATACATGTGTACAGTATGTCAACTGTAAGGCTTCCCATAATGTTAATTTCCCAATGTTAATTTTTGCAAGATTCAAACATTATGCTGTAATAGAATGTGTGAATGACCTTGGGGAATGAGAGAAAGAGATGCTGCCTAGGAAACAATTAGACGAGCTCTCCATGGCTAAACTTTAGAAAAAGAAACTTAGGAAGGACCATTCATCAGATGGTTAAAAGTGGCTGTAAGGACCAGCTTCTCCCCCACGGATCTGACAGTGGCAGTGGGAAGTTTGTACCTTAAGACTTGCAAGAATCTGTTAATGTAGCCTTATAGTAAAGCAGAATTAGCTCATGTGGTTGTGTTTCCTGTCTGATTTATCTGGAAGGGCTGACATATGCTGAAGCATGGCTTGTTTATCTATGATTTTTTAATCTACTTAATCAATTCATATAGTCACCCATCTCACATACATATCTCTGATCAGCTTATAATATAATATCACTTGTTGACTCAGTGACAATTTACTGGGTTAAAAAACACTCTGAGCTATAAACTGTGTCTTACTAAGCATAATTACTAGCAATGAACACATTACACCAAGCCAAAGCTAAACAAACCTATATATATATAGACTACAGAATCAACTCTTGGAGGTCTTCTAGTCCAATCCCCTGCTCAGTCAGGAAGACCTATATCATTTCAGACAAATGGTTGTCCAATCTCTTAAAAACTTCCAGTGTTGGAACATTCACAATTTCTGGAGGCTAGTTGTTCCACTGATTAACTGTCAAGAAATTTCTCCTTAGTTCTAGGTTGCTTCTCTCGTTGATTAGTTTCCATCCATTGTCTCTTTCCTACCTTCAGGTGCTTTGGAGAATATGATGGCTTAGTGCCTAAATCCAACACTTCCTGCAAGAGATGTTTGACCTTGTTTGGAGTGATTAACCCTTGCAAATTCTTCTTTACAGATTTACGCAAAAACTTTGAACAAGACCCCCAGGGCAATGAAGTCCCAATTGAAGGAATGATTGTGCTTCATTGTCGGCCACCAGAGGGAGTTCCTTCAGCAGAGGTGAGAAATAAGGTCCCTTGCATTTCACATAAAGTCTGTTACAGTTTTATTTCATAAAGTTCAATAACAATACAGAATTAAGATAGGGCAGAATTTGGGTTTGCCTTGCAAATATCCTGTGGTTTGTGTTTGCCATAAGGAATAACAATTGATTGCAACAATTTAAAACAAAAGCACCACCACACTGACAACCCTTCCAAATCATTTGCTTGAAAGATCAATGCACGAAATATTTTTTTTTTAGTCCTGACTAGATGTTTTCAAAATGCTTTGAAATATGCACTGGATTTTATGGTCAATGTTGCAACTAAACCCAAGAGCTATCTAATTGTGAAGGAGAGCAATCCAAGTTCACTACCATAAAGAAAAACATATTGCTTACAGGAGCATGATATAAATAAGTCATGTATAAAAGTGTCCATGTCAGTACTTGGTGAATTTCCAAGTCCCCAATCATGCCAATTTCCTGCTTTTGTAAGGTCATCATTTTTCCTAGTGGTAAAATACACTATGACCTATACACCCTGGATTTGGTTTCCTTTACTAGAAAGCTGCCAGGTGCAAATAACCAGGAACATTTGTTGAATTCAAAGCACAGAAGAGTTTATTACTGCTACCTACCAGTGGTGGGTTCCAAAATTTACTACCGGTTCTGTGGGTGTGGCTTATTTTATGGGTGTGGCTTGATGGTCATGTGACTGGGTGGGCATAGCTGGGTGATCATGTGACTGGGTGGGCATGGCCAACTTGACATCACTCACGTCAAGGTTAGGGTTAGGGTGCCTGGCCTCTCCTTGCCTCAAAGGCCTCAACGAGATACAATTTCCCTGTCTATGTATTTACTACTACTTAATATCCAAAATATACTATTTAATCCTATGTCTATTTGCCATATCTGTATACATATTACACAGTATAGAGCCGTGATGGCGAACCTATGGCATGCGTGCCACAGGTGGCACGCAGAGTCATATTAGTGGGCAGGCCAGCTCAGCTCTGGGGCGTATGTGCGCGCCGGCCAGCTGATTTTCGGGCCTTCTGGGCCCACCAGAAGTAGGGAAACAGGCTGTTTCCTGCCTCTGGAGGGCCTGGGGGTGGGGTGGGAAGACCCGTTTTTCTTTCTTACCTGGCTCCAGATCCTCTCTGTGTATCTGGGAAGGGCAAAAACAGCCTTTCCCACTCCCTTGGAGGCCCTACGGAGGCTGAAAGGGCCCATTTCCTGACTCCCGGTGGGACAGGAAGTGACTTTTTTCCTGTCCCCAGCCTCCAGAGACTCCTAGAGAGGCTCCTAGAGACTCCTAGAGAGGCTCCTAGAGACTCCTAGAGAGGTTCTGGAGGCTGGGGACAGCAAAAAATGTCACTTCCTGTCCCACCGAGAGTTGGGAAATGGGCCCTTTCAGCCTCCGTAGGGCCTCCAAGGGAGTGGGAAAGGCTGTTTTCGCCCTTCCCAGATACACAGAGAGGATCTGGAACCAGGTACGAAAGAAAAACGGGCCTACCAGGCCATCATGTGCCAGGAGTGGGGGGAGGGGAGAGGGGGTTGCACACGCATGCGTGTGGGCACATGCGCACATGACCCTCCCCCACCCCCCCCTCTCCTGGCACGTGATGGCAAAAAGGTTAGCCATCACTGGTATAGAGTATGTTTAGGCACACAAAAAGATACATTATCTACTATATATACTGTATGTGTATGTACACACACACACACACATACACACAGAGCTCTTCTAAAACTATACACATTCAACCTCACTTGCTACATTTGGAAAAACACACCCAGAGTCCACTTTCTGCCACACATTTAATTATAACTTCTGTACATTTAGAACATTACGCACACCTTCAGATGTTCTTATCTAGCTTGCACATGACTGTTAGAGCCAGGAGAGGTCATGGATTGAGTTGCCTTTCTTTCTTTCTTTCCTTTCTTTTTCTTTTTTTCTTTCTTGTATCTCCCTTCCTCTTTCTTTCTTTCTCTTTCTCTTTTTCTTTCTTTCTCTTTGTCTTCTTTCTTTCTTTCTTTCTTTCTTTCTTTCTTTCTTTCTTTTCTTTTCTTTTCTTTTCTTTCTTTTCTCTCTCTCTCCCTTCCTCTTTCCTTCTTTCTCTTTCTTTCTTTCTCTCTTTCTCTTTCTTTCTTTTTCTCTTTCTTTCTCTCTTTCTCTCTCTCCCTCCTTCCCTCCCTCCCTCCCCTTCCTCCTGAAACACCAGCAAAACCACCACTTTGCTTCTAAAGTGGTCTAGGGCAGGGGTCTTCAACCTTGGCAACTTTTAGACTTGTGGACTTCAATTCCCAGCAGCAAAGCCAAGGTTGGAGACCCCTGGCATGGCAGGGCTGCTACGGGCAGTGGGGAAGGGAGTAGGCTGGGTGGAGGGGGGGCGAGCAAGTGAGCATTGGGCGGCCAGGGCCAGCGAGTGGGGACTGGTTCGAGGGCATGGCCAGCCAGCGATCATTAGCAGTTCAACAACCAAACCCAAATTACCACTACTGGTTCTCCTGAACCGGTGTGAACCTGTAGTAACCCACCACTACTACCTACACACAAGAATCTAGTCAACTAATGGTCAGAGCTAAATTGGCGCTAGATAAGGATCAACAGAATTCATGGGGGGGGGTTGGACTTGGGTCTCATGCCAATACAATGACTCCATACTGATAGCCCATTAAATTTTGCCTTCAAGCTCAACCTGCTCTTCTCCTACAAAAGCACTTGAAAAGTGCTGTTGCTTTGTCACACAAGATATATTTTGATTGATTGATTATCTTTCGCAAGGCCTTCTTGGCTACTCTACCAAGTGCTAGTGGCTTATTTCCTGACTTCTTCCATTGCTGTTGACGGCAGATTCTAAAAGGCAGAAGCTATCCACTGTTGCAATTTCTTCATTGCCCATTCTAAGGTTATTTGTTCTTCCTGTTGTCATTAATTTGATTTTCTCCTTATTTTATTTTAGTCTGATTTTTTAATGTTCTCTTTGACTTTTAGCACTAGTGCTTGCAAATCCTTTTATGTTTTCAACTATTGGGTTAATGTCTCAGGAAACACAGGTTATTGATAGTTCTTCCTCCAGTTTTAAAACCATGCTCATCTTTCAGTCCAGCTTCCCTTAGTTAATATATATTCTCTGAATAGTCTGAATAAATAAGGGGAGAGTATACAGCCTTGTCACATTCCTTTGCCAAACTGGAACTATTTCACCATGTTTTGTTTGGACGGTGGCTTCCTGACTTGTATATAGATTTTCCATAAGACAATGAGATATTCTAGAATTCCCATTTTTCTAAGCACATTCCACAGTTTGACATAACCAACAAAACCTAAAATTTTTCTATTATCAATGAAACATATATTAACTTATTTCTGGCATTCTTTTGTCAGAAAGCACTGGAAAAGGGCTGTGGTTTTGTCACAGAAGATATACTGATAACTGTAAACAACTATCGTGGCATATATTTTGAGAAGGCAAGACATCCATATAATTCATAAAGAAACTAGGAACACCAATACACATGGATTCTCTGATTCTTTTACTATGTTTCTTGTACTCTATTCCACTAGAATTCTCTATTGGCCAAGTGTGATTGGACACACAAGGAATTTGTCTTTGGTGCATATGCTCTCAGTGTACATAAAAAGAAAAGACATTCGTCAAGAATCATAAGGTACAACACTTAATGATAGTCATAGGGTACAAATAAACAATCATGAAAAAATCAATATAAATATAAATTGTAAGGATACAAGCAACTGAGTTATAGTCATGCAGTAATAAGTGGGAGGAGATGGGTGATAGGAATGATGAGAAGACTAATAGTAATAGTAATGCAGCCTTAGTGAATAGTTTGACAGTGTTGAGGGAATTATTTGTTTAGCAGAGTGATGGTGTTCGGGAAAAAAACTGTTCTTGTGTCTAGCTGTCTTGGTGTGCAGTGCTCTTTAACATCGTTTTGAGGGTAGGTGTTAAAATAATTTATGTCTAGAATGTGAGGTGTCTGTAAATATTTTCACAGCCCTCTTTTTGACTCATGCAGTATACAGGTACTCAATGGAAGGCAGGTTGGTAGCAATTGTTTTTTCTGCAGTACTAATTATCCACTGAAGTCTGTGTCTGTCTTGTTGGGTTGCAGAACCAAACCAGACAGTTATAGAGGTGCAGATGACAGACTCAATTTATCCTTTAAATAACTGATTTGAAGGTAGATGGCTAACATGTGTTGGAACATGTTGAAACTGATCAGGTCTATGTGTTATTTCAGCTCCATTTCACTCATGAGTTTGGCTGGTTTGGGGACCTTTCAAATAGCCTTTGATTATGCATCTCGGCTCTTCTGATCTGCCTCTGGGTGGTTCTTCAGATGAATCACCAAACAGGGAAAACAGGGTTTAGTCAAGCAATCTTTAATCTGCAACAGTCGGGTATCGAGGAAAAACCAAGTACGAATGTAATAAAGTCAGCACTGAATGTTTGGGTTTGTCAGTGTTTTTTAAAGCAGCACGCCAACCGCGCCCACACCCCATCCATACGCAATCGTCTTTCCAGCTGTTCCTTATTTCCTTCTTCCCAAGCCGACAGCACTTCCGCATTCAAACGTTGCAGACGCCGATTCTTCACAGACGATCCTGACTCGCAGCCTATGCGCAGGTATTAGTAACCACCACCACCAGAACCTAACAAACCCGTCACCACTACTACCCTGAGTATCTAATAACCATCCCCACTGCTTTTCTGTTGATTCTTTAGTCGGCCTTGGATTCTTTAGTCGGCCTTAGATGCCTCTCCCTCCGACAAATATGTTGAGCTGATGTCGGGCTCGACACTCCTTTTCAAATGGCCTTTGATTACATTATATCCTTTTAGAAAATTTTTCTCAGTTGGATGTTCAGAGGTGGGCAGAAAAACTGCCTCTTTATATATTACTCTCATTTCCAAATGTGACTGTAGGGACTGGAAGATAATTTGTTTGGTTTGCATTTTGAAAATAATTTACCAAGAGCATTTTG